CCGTCGATTTGGAATCTGTGGTTACGCACGAGATAGGACATATACTTGGCCTGGCTCACTCTTCGGTTAAAGGAGCCGTTATGTACCCGAGCTTGAAGCCAAGGACGAAGAGGTAGACTTGAAGATTGATGACGTGGAGGGAGTACAGGCGCTGTATGGGTCAAACCCTAACTTCGCATTTAATACCTTGCTACAGTCTGAAAGTTCGTCCAATCTTGCCATTGAGTCAGAAAGCACTCTGTCCAAATGGACTCTCTTTGGCTCTAGGATTGATCATAATATTTCTATCTACTTAAATTTTTTCCCTTGTCCCTCTTCATATATTCATTTGCAAGTGTACGTACCATAGAATAAGTTACCACCAAAGGAAAGGAAATTTCTTCAATCTTGTTATGTTTCAAAAAGTCATCATTTTCAAATAAGAGAATTACAATCGGATCTCAGAAAAAATATTTAATTACCCTAAAGTATATCAATAAGTAAAGAGTAAATAGTAACAGGTTTCAGAATAAGAAATGACAACATATTTAGGTTGGTTACTTATCAATAGAACTTTTTAGCGATTAAATTTCTTCTCATGAATCTCGATAATTCTCCCTTTTGAAGTTGAAAAGAGAGTTGGGGGTACCAATAATGTTTATACCTCGACTTAAGATGGTTGATGGAGTAGACTTGGCAGTTTGACACAAACGAAGGGAACATGGAAATGCTGCTAGGGCAATGAGAGCCCACTTGGGAAAAGGCAAGGAAAAATATGAAAAAGGAATATATGCGTGGCCTGAGTAATAAAAGGAAACAAGGTATCTCTTTTTGCTTTGGTGATACGTTTCCAAAGAAACCAAACTCATTTCTTGCGAGTGGAGGGGAACAAAAGAGAAAAGGGTTTTTTTTGGGGGGGGGGGGCTGTGAACTTTGTCAATCTTTTTTTTGGGAAGACTTGTCACACGACTTCTCACTTATAGGAACAAGTCACAAATCATGTTTTTAAAGGAAAGGAAAAAAAAAGTCATACACTAACACTGATTAAGCCTTGACTTAAGGACTTGGGTTGGATGACATGGCAATTCAAATTAATGCCTAGTGGAATAAGAGTCTTCGATTTTCAGTAACTAAACTGGTGACCTCGTTAATCCCTTTTCCCTGATCTTATTGTTTTGACATTTACGTACCTACGCGAAAGGTCTTTTATCTCCTCCTTTTGCTTTCGGTGAACACTGAACAGGTATTCATCTCTTCCCTCCCTCTGCTCCTTTTGTTTTCTTTTTAGGGGGGTGAAAGGGTCTTCATTTTTTTCTGACAGTAGCCCATCAGGCTAAGGAGGCCCAAAATCCGTGGTACCACATTGGGCTTTTTTTGCGGGGAAAAAGAATGTTTGGCCCAACAAGAAGGGTGACAAAGAGATGGCACCGCACGGCGTCGTTTAGGAGGAGCTGTGACGCCTGCAACCGCAAAGCCCTAAACCCTTCTTTCCTGCAGCTCTTCAACTGGAAGTCGAGTCTTCCGTTTTTCACCCACACCGTCCCCTCGGCGATGGCTTCAGGCTGCAGCAGAATTGCGCAAAGGACATTTCTTGCATCCGCTAAATCTGCCATTAAATCCAATCTTCGTACTCCTTCATCCAAATCAGCCGCCACTCCGGCTAGTCCTATCAAATCAACCACTTCTACTTTTCGCAAATCCTCCTTGACCAGGTTTTAATATATCTCTTCTTCAAATTTCTAATTCCCAATAAGCCTTATATTCTTCTTTTTGGTTAATTTTCCTTGATTTATCTGCAGCAGGATTGCGCCGGAGCTGGGATGCCTGCAGTCAATGTTGCCGCTACACAGTGCGGTTGCAGCGGCAAGAATGACGTCGTGCCTGAGCATAACTTCCAGGAGTTGCCGAGCTCTTTCTCAGGGTACACTCTGCTGCACCTCTCCCGGCCTCTAGTACTTTCTTTTTCAAAATTATTAGCAATTGTGAGTAGCTTCCTTGCTTCTTATATTGATGTTCCTTTTGAACATTTTTGTTATTCGCATCTGAATTGCATTCAACATGCTTTCAACTTGATGAACCTCAAGAACTTTGAAATGAAGGGGGACCTTTTTGAAGCCTTTGTTGTGATTTCCTGAGTGTGTTTTAACTTTTTGTGTTACCAATTTGTTTGCAATTTACATGAGGAATCTACTTAACCAATGCATTCATGACTTGTATACTGGCACTATCACATCGTGGTTTGATTAATTTGAGGTCTGTTGCCCGTAATGCCAAATAAGCAAGTGTATAGAAATTGAGAGTTGGACGGACAGAGTCACATAGTCTGATTTACACCAGAATCTATAATAGTGTCATGGCTAGGGGTAGTGGGTTTTGTGGAACCATTTGAAGGCTGCAAGTACGAAATGAAAGTGCTTTAATTGGGAGTTTCAATGTCAACTAACTGTAAGATTTGGTTCCTGCAGGCACATAGTTAATTGGGAATCTGCGGGACCTACCAATTATGGCCTACTGCTTCATTATCAAGTATGAATAAAAACGATGTTTTAACATTTAACACTCTCTTCAGCAGTATTAGAACAGAGCTACAATTTGTGTTATCATCAAAAAGTTCTGCAGGAAGTTTCTAGTGTTCATTGGAATTTAATATGAAGTTCCTATAGGAATGGTGGCTGGAAAACTTAGTGAAAGAAACAAAAAGAGGAGGGGAAAACTGGGAGAGATATAAATTAGCATTGTCTAAAGCGGTTAAGCCTGTACCATCCCATAATCCACAGATTCTCTTCTTTCCTTTCAAAGCAAATTGACTTTCTATCTATGGCTGTTTCTTGAATTTATTCCCAGTGGTATGGTATGGTGATTTTCTTATGGGAAATTTGTCTGCTTTTTAGAAGTCCCAACCCTTCTGTATTTCCCTCTATACCAGCAGAAAATTAGACGATCATTGAAACAATGGATGAACTGTTCATGGGTGGCTTATGTTGGGGTCAATGCCTCAGCATATTGATCACTATACTTCTTCCTAGTTGTTTGTGTATCGTGGCCTGGTTTGTTTAAAACTCCACAAAATAATTTACGGTGGACCCATTGTAAACGGCTTCCACAAGAGACATGATCCTGTTAATCTTTACAACTCTTCTTACTCTGAACAAATAGCATATCTATAAAGTGTGGGGATGATCCATGCTTTATGTATTTAGTGGTTTGTACTTTGTATCTGTGCTATTCAAATTCTCTCCTGTTAGTGTATGAGGAGAATGCCATCGTATGTCTGGCTGTCTCTGATAGGATGGCTTCCTATCCGAGCAAGGAGTCATTTTGTTACTTCTGGGCGGGATTCATCAGGAAAAGATACAAGTTAAAAGCCTCCCAGTGTCGAATAGGAAAATGGAAATGATAAGTAGGTTGAGTGTCGGATTTTGATGAGCTGCTTTTGGACATAGGACAGCCAACCAGATGCTTGGATGCAAATATTTTGCATTAAATTTACAATATACTTTTATAATAACTAAGCATAATATGATAACCTAACTGCTACTTTGGCCAGATGGAATTGATGGGACGTGAGACATGCATGCACTTTTGAAGGTGGGATTTATCTTTGTACGTTTGACCTCAAACTATTTGGACAACCATAGATAATACCAATCTCATAAATTGTGCTTAATGTGTTTTGCCATTTATATTTTATTCTGAAGCAAAGTTACGAGAGTACACAATTAACATGAATGCAGGTTTTAATTACAGTAACTTTTAAAGTTATTTTATGTATCTCTGAATCACTGTAACTCTTTATATTAGAGGATTATTTTTTAACGTAGTATGTTGTAAGAATTTATCTTGCTTACAGATGTGGTTCGTCATTCTTTATTTACAATTGCAATTTGTAGGCTTTTGTAATCAGGCATATTACTGATTGAGCCTTGTTTCATTTGCTTTTCACAGAGCTTGGATTGTCAGTTCCAAGGTGACCTGCCAAGAGAGAGTTGATATAATTAACACATCTGAAGGCTTTTTTGTTTTGGATGATTTTTCGGGATCCAGCGAGCAGCTGTACTGTGATTCTTTTAAGCTCATAAATTAGTATCATGATGAATAATGTTTAGTCTCCCCATTTTTATGAAATTATGTCACTCATAATTACTAAATGAAATTCAGACCATCTGCACCTATCTCTATTTATTATTATTATTATTATTACTATTACTACTGCTGCTGCTAATTTTCAATTTCCTCTATCATATTGATTTTCGGTTCACCGTTCCTGTTGCTGCTGTAACATGAGCGGTGGCTCTATGGTGATCAATCGTCTGATTACCTAGGCAAAGATCATGGTCCCTTGAAAAAGGGGGGCTGCAAATTAATTTTTATATCCTTTCTCAAATCAATCAAATGGCTAGGAATTCAAAACGCCTAAACGTAGTTACATTTCTTTATTTTCATGAATTTCTCAATAGTTTAAGGTGCGCGCTTAGTAATATGTCAAATCACCTTGACAAGCCATTAATTGTGCTCTTCGTGCCATCAGAATCGTATCATGCCTTTCCTATTATTTTGGTGCAAACTAGGGTTTCGAGAAATCCAGCACTGAACTTACCAACTTCATTGTAAAGCATCTTTGTCTTCGTCAGCAAATCAATATGTTTATTCTGAAGTTCATGATCTAAATAAACTCGTCGCCTTCGTCCTTCGAGAGCTCCCAGGGGAACATGTCCATGTTAGGAACGAAATTCCAGGACGCTGTGGCCTGTTTTGTAGGCTGAAAAAGAGGCATGCTAATAGATATATTAATTGATGTTATACTATTTCCGGTACATAATATGAAACTTTGTTCTAGAATTTTTTATGTAATTCATAATATAATATTCTTCGAAATTTTTTTTGAAGGATTTATGATATATTTTCCAAAATGATCATCATGCAATTATCTCTCGATTTAATGGGAAATGTTATATTTGACTTTAATGTTTTCGTTTGAAAATACAAGACCTTAACATGTAAAATAATATCTGGATGAGAGGCTTTGTTTTCACTTGGAGACATACGAACTATCATCCTATCTATAGAATAACTGAGTTATTTTATTCCAGCAGCGGAAGAATAGGGGACAAAATTCTCTACTTCTATCCAACTAGAACCTGCATCTTTTCTCACTCTTTTTTTCCTCATGATGCCCCTAATTATACTAACATCTTCCCATCTTCGACAAGATGCATAGAGATTAGACATAATCACGTAAACATAATCTTCATTGCCCTCCAATTTCATCAAATTAGCAGCCGCAACCTCTGCTATTTTTAAATCTCTGTTAATTTCACAAGCAGCAAGTAAAGCTCTCCAAATCAATCCACACTTCTCAAAGCCAAGTTCGTGTATCATACTTTCAGCTCTCCATAACTCCCCTTTTTGTCCCATCAGCCGAATTATCGAGCAACAATGCTCGATGGTCGGAACTATTCCATAATCACTGATCATGGATTTGAAGTACCGAGTTGCAACCTCAAGAGGTATTTGATTGTGGGAACACGCAAAAAACAGGTTAAGAAATGTGATACCATCAGGTTTTGTATGTTTATCCGTTTCGAGCAGCTCAAAGAGTTGGATAACTCTGACAGAATCACCGCTACGAGCATGGCCAGAGATCAAAGCGTTCCAGCTTACCAGATTCCTGCTAGACAGTGATTCGAAAATTGATTCGGCATTCTTAACCTGCCCACATTTTGAGTACATGTCGATTAAAGCACTACCAACAACCACAGATGTATCCAGACCATACTTAATAGTGAAACAATGAATCAGCATTCCCCATGTCAAGGCTGATAGACAGGCAATCCCATTTAAAATGATGGAAAATGTGAACTCGTTCATCCCTGCGTTTCTCGAGTGCATCTTACTGAACATATCCAAGGCTGCCGGAGCTTGATTCCTATTCACATATCCTGTGATTATTGAATTCCACGATGAAGAATTTGGATTTGGCATGGTGGATAAAATCTGAATTGCTTCTTCCATACTCCCCACCTGAGCTATGCCGTTTATCAGTCCATTGTATGAAATAGTGTCAGGGTTAGGCATGAGGTGCAAAAAATGAAATGCTTGTTCAATTTTCCCGTTGCTAGCACTCGCAGCTATTACTGAATTCCAAGAAATAACGTCCTTGTTAGTTATCTCAGAGAACACTCGAACAGCCTCTTCAGCACACTCGCATTTGCCATACATATCAACCAAGCAATTGGCAACAACAGTATCTCCAACCAACCCAGATTTCAGAACCCTGGAATGAATTGACCTGCCAAGCTTCAAGAAACTCAGGTGGCCGCAAGCAGCTAAACCTGATGTAAATGAGAACGCGTCGGCATATATGTCAGATTTTTGCAGCTGAAGCAAAACAGACAAGGCTTTACGAAACTGCCCGGAATGTGCGTACCCAGAAATCATGGTGTTCCAAGAAATCACATTCGGTTGAGGGATTTCATCGAACAATCTGTGGGCATCACCAATTGACTGCATTCCGACGTAAAATCTAATGAGCGCGGCGGAGGCATTGGCATCGGATAAATACCCAGAACGCAAAACATAGCTGTGGAGCTGATGTCCAAGTGAGGCACAGCCAAGGTTAGCGACGGCTCGAAGCAGGTGAACCAGAGCATAAGCATCCGGTTTAGTGCCAGAACTGAACAATCGAGAGGCCTCACATAACTCGAAGTCGGCACTAGTTTTATCTTTGGCCAGCTCGGCAATGAGACCTGGGGTTGAACTGAAACGGTTAACTCGATTCCTAAGACTTGAATTACAGCATCCTAATGGAAGAAAATGAAGATTATTCTCCCATTCCCCCAACTTTTTACCTCCACTGCATAGTAGACTTCGCATAGCTACGTACTACCAGGTTATTCTTCAATATCACTTCTTGATTTCTTGAACCGTTGCTACGACCATGATAAAATCACCACCAATTAAGCAACAGGGTCTTGTAAGGAGGACAGTAGGACCTGCATTGTAAATCTTCACATCAAATCAACCTTTAACCCGAATTTATCCTCTCTGGGGAGATCAGATGGTCGTAACTCGGAAGAGACAGGGGTCACGTGAGGATGGCGTGAGGGTGGTCCTCAATTCCCGGGGGATCTCAGATTTCAAGTGGGAAGGTTCAGTTAATGTGCAAATGGTTCCAATGTTTTCGGGGGAGCTTACAATATTCAATATTGGAGGTCGAAGCATCAAATCAAAGTGTGACGTGTCCACCACACAACAACGGAGCCCTGCATGTTCACCCACTTGTCACTTTCACTTCCGTTTCTAATCTTTTACACAACTAGCTTGTGCTCCCCGTGCGATGCACGGGAAGCTTATACCTTAAACATTTTGTTTCAGTTTCATTCTAAATTACATTTCATTTCATCATCTCATCTCACATACTTTCACCATTTCATTCATCACATTTCATGCCAATAACGCATCGAGATTTTGAAATATTTCATGATACACAACATTTTTTGTCCTCTCAGAAAATGTACCATCATTCTTATTTATTTATTATAATCTTTAATCCCTCCAAGGGTCTAACTCTAAACAAAGCAACATATAATTACCGATGTGAGAAGGCCAGCTTACATAAAAATAACCTAACATGATGTAGAAGTTGTCCTTGACTTTTGTTAATTATCATAGCAAATGTCAAGGTGATAGGAAACTGCCTCCTTTACATACAAAATAACCATCTATTTTCTAAAGGATTCATGTCTATTTTATGAATCAAGACTTTTTGACTTGGCTGATTACCATTCAATGTTATCGATTCAATGACTCATTTACCAACTTGAGAAATTCATCATCGTGTCCCATTACACAAGTCAGCTGCTTGATCAATATTTCTCAATGACATAATAGGTGCTCCAACTTTCAATATCAACTTGTGCGGTGGCATACCAAAGTAACTAAATGTGTTTAAGAATTCAGTAGCATATAAGTCATCAAAACTATCGGCATTTGCAGTGGATTTACAAATTGAATCATAACTTATGAACTCATATGACTCCCTTGACAACAAAGAACACATATGATTGTTGATTTGGTTAACGATCTCAACTGTTGGTGTAAGTATAGCTCTAACATTGAAGTACTCATTGCTTGTTAAATTATCAAATACATCACCATATATAAATTGACCTGACAATAACATCCAATGAATTTTCATCAATAGGTAGTAGTAGTTCCTTTGAGATTTCAATATCTACTAGTCCATAATGTGATTCTTGGATTCTTCAAGATTCCCATCACCATTATCTAATAACCACCTTGAAAAAAGCTGCAAATATAAAAACTTCTACTCAACAGCTTGACAGATAAATATTAAATTGTAAACTTATTGAAAATGACTTCTGATCGTAGAAAACAGTACCTTCAAATCAAGAGGATAAATTAGATGCCACATTAATTATGTCTCAAAAAACAGCTGCTTTTCTCTGTTGTTTTTGACCTCCAATGGCTCAGCAGACATGAATTGGTTGGAGTTATTTGTTGTACAAAGATTATTGTTGAGCCCTGTTTCTGTTTTTAGTGTACTTAGCCTGTCCATATTTCTTCCAGATTACTACAAGATGAAATCAAAAGATATGAAGAAATACATGACCTGATGGATATTACACCAGTGCGTTGCTTGAAGAAATATATGACCTATATTCTCGGTCTCCCACCACGCCTCCCCCATTCTATTCACTACCTTGATTCTTGCGTAGAAATAAACTCATAACCAAAGTAAAAGCAGCCTAGCATGAAGTTATAAGCCTACAGCATGGGAAGTCGTGTTTATAGGCATGCCTTTCTCACTAAGGATTCATTTCATTTGCATTTTGTTCTGTTTTCATTGAAAAACCCAAGGAATAAAGGGTGACCCGTGCTCCCTGTTGTTCTTTGTCTTGTTTCATAAAGTTGGTCATGAAAATGACCTATCTTATATTGAACCCCGTACATGTTGTTGACGATAAATAATCATGCTTTACCTGCCTGAGAATGTAAAGAAAGATAAAACTTGCTCTAGGTCTATAAATATGTCTCATATTTGAAAGTGGGAAATACGATGGACAATTCAAATGAGGTCTGATAAAAAAAAAAAATTCACCTATTACTACTACTTAACAATTGATTTTCAAAAAACAGTATTCCAATTCTAAAAAATAAAAAAAAAATAGTTAAGATATATATCACTAATATTACACATATACTGTTCAAATAATTTATGTATGTCTATACCCACACTCAAAAAGATCAACTAAGAAGTCACATTACTGAAAAAAGACGATAATAAAAATTATTTTGCTAAATGTATAAAAAAGCAGTTGAATACATTACGTAAGTTAACATACTAAAAGGGAAACTATGTAAATGAAATTAGTTTTTCTGTTTTCTTGTCAGCCTGGATAAACAAATAAAACATGTATATTTTTTTATCATATTTTTCTTATGACCCTTATGATAATTATTATATTGTGAATCTAGCTACTGGATTCAATGGGCAAAACTTAAATACCATAATGAAGGGGAAAGAAATACTACATAGTTCCTATAGATAATTAATGGAACGTTTGCTCATAACATGCACTTCATACCAAAAAATAGTAACACTCAAATGGATCATATAATTAATAAGAAACAATTGATCAGTTCATAATAGATAATTCGATAATCAACAATTGCCATATGCAAGTCCTTAAATAATAAGTTGGTATTTTTTGAATATTTTTAATTTATTTTTGTCTTCATATTTTATAGGGCTAATCATGATTCTTAATTTAAACCTAATTTGCATATATTTTAAGAGTGGTTGGTGCTACCTCACCCAATGAGTACTTTACATAATCTAAAAATTATGAGATGGCAACTACATGTTTTAAATAATTGATCACATCCTTAAATAATCTCATGATATTAAAACTGACAGCAAAAAATATTATATTTAAAAAATTATAATATTGGGTTTTCTACCAACTAAAAATTATCGATTAACACTAAACTCATATTTCAGTTCGAATAAGGTTATGCAGGTTTCATATACAAAGGAATTGACACATCTAATTCACTGGAATAATTAATATTACCAAACAAAATTCTAATATTGGCTTTCATTGGTTATCGATTATGACTTATTTTTATGTAGTTATAATTTTAATTAACCAACTACTCCTGTGAACTAATTTTTCATAACTAATATAGTACCATTAATCATAACTAATTTTTCATCCTGTGAACTTCTATCCACATTATTGATATTGTGTAGCGTCACCGGAAAGCAAAATATTGTCCTTGTGCAGTAGGAAAATAAGAGTGAAAGGGGCAAGGAATTTAATGCACTTCAAATTAAAAACAAACGAACTACATAAAACACCACAGAAGCAACACATCCAACTACATGAAGAGCAAAACAGAGCACACAACAACTACCATGGCTAACATCAGAAACATAATGTGAAACTACAAGTCAAACACAATCTTAAATGACAATCTGACATTGCTACCAATAACACAAACACCAAACTCGGGTCACTTTTCTTGCCTGATGACTTTAAAAAGCCTTTCTTTTGCTGGTGAAGAAGGCGGCAAAAGAGATGAAGTATGAGTGTCATCCCTCACAATGTTTCGCTTCACATGTGCTCTAAGTTTGCTTTTAAAAGTCATAGGTGGAACATGCTAATATATCTCATTGATGGTGACATCATCTTGATCAAAATTATCAAACTGAGTTGATTTGCCAATATTTGCAATTGGTTCTACTTCAGCCATTTGTTCATCTTGCCCGAATTAACAGCAGATTGACCACCTGTCCTATTCTGTATATAATAAAGCAATATTATACATCAGCAGGATTTTCATCATATAAAATAAAAACAATATCAAATTTAATACCTCAACAGATTCATCAAATCCTCACAAATAGTGAATTGACCCACCTCACCTTAACCCAAGTTGACCATATAATGACCTCAAAATACCACACGGGTCTGCATCCACAATGGAAAATGACCAATAAATATATCAGCCTAATGCAATGAATTTAATTGTTTGAAGTACGCTATACAACTTACCAACTATCCCCCCAGTCCTCGAGGATAGCCCATGCAATCTCAGAAATAGGCTTCAGCATGAGGCAATGGCTAGACATCGGCACTTCCGCAACATTGACGTCAGTATATGGAAACAAACATATGTGGTAATGTGGGTGAAAGACTCCCCCGCCACATCCAGTATAAAATTTGGAAAGCCTATAACAATGTCCCCCCTGAAACTTCCGTGCAAGGCTGCGGATCACATCATCTTCCCTCATCTCTGCAACCATACGAGTGCCCGCTTACGAAATCAATGAAAACAGAACAGACTTAATCTATCTTGTACCATATAAGTAATGACCTTCAATAATAACATAGAAGTCATATACAACTTACTGAATGATCAAATATTACTAAGTCCAAGGATATTAACTGCTTCATCGGTCTTTCATCGTCCGCCAGCAGATGAATAATCTCTTCGGTTGAAAATCCGATCAACCTTCACCAGAATCACACTTTTCGATCTTCCAATGCGGAGGCTGTTAAGAGGAACGACATTACCATCAGGCGACATGGAAGCTATGGACCAGTAGGCAAGATTCAAATCTAAATCAAGGAGGTGTGAGTAAACAAAAGCAAAAGCATACGTATTTTTGGAGAAGCAACAAAGATACACACTTACCTTGCATTAACTACCTCAACTAATCAGCAATGCGTTTAATGCATTCGAATGCCTCACCCTATTAAATATGCCTCAAGCACCAAACCATGCCTATGTGGTCTATGAGTGCAGAAAATTGAGGACGCTTGTGACAGGAGACTTCCACATATAGTAGACAAAGGTGATTTGGTAATAAGAGTTTAATAAGAGTTGGTGATTTGGTGTACATAATCGATCACGGTGAGGTCACATTTATGGCTATGAAATAAGGGAAGTTGAAACAGCAATCATCACAAAGATGAACTTGTGTGTGGGAAGAAACGTTGATGGGTATTAAGGAACATTCTCGGGTAAAAACTGGCTGAGGAAAATCACAAACCAGATATGGAGGGAATGAAAGATTTCAAATTTGGAACAGATAGCGCGTCCTTAAAATTCGCATTCAGAACAAAAATATGGAGGGAAAAACAAAGGTTTAAATTTGGATTTGAACATTCTAAAGAGACACCCAAGCCGAGCATCAAGCCAAATGTGGCTGCATTAAATGCATTTGAGCCAATACGAAGCCATAGGAATATATTTTAATAATGTATGCAGCTTGTGAACAGTAACTTTGTCTCTGTAGCCGATGATAAGCCGCTTTAGGGATGAGTTTTGGTGGAAGAGTATTTATTGATATATTGATACAACATACGACACATCCTCAGTTGCAATACCCACTCTGTTCACAGTAATGCCAGTTTTTAATACCCCTCTTTCCACCGCCGATATATGATGACGCAGGAAATATTACCCTAAAACACTTGTCAAATAAAACAGAAAATACTAAGCATTTTATTATTGAAAAAAAAAAGAAGGTATTTGTTCTCGTTGTGTTTTGTTGATTATATGCAAATCTTACGGGTTCATGTCATCTTGGTATATCAGGACGAAAGTAGTTGAGTCTGCTTTTACTTAATGAAACGGGTGGAGTATACATTACGGACTTCGAAAGTAGTAGAAATATGTGATCATGGGTAATCAGATAAACGATTCCTGTTTATAAAATTATAGCTGAGAAAATACGCATTTCTAAAATTGGAACCGAATCTAGTTTTAGATTTAGTGTGAAAAAAGGGTGACTAGAGGCTAGCACTATATATAACAACATAGGAAGAGAGACGAAGAAAACGAGAGAAAGTGGGGGGATTCATAGGCATGACAAGGCAAAGCAATTAGCAAATATCCGGAAACGGACAAATGAAAGATGGCTTCCCAATTGGCGGTAGAAACAAACAAATATCGGAGTTAATTAAAAGTCCGTCGGAAGATGCCACTTTTTGGTGATCAGAGAATGAGAGGAGTGGCTGTGTGTTTGTGAGGCCGAAGAATAAAAGGGGCATTTGATTGATGGTGGAGATGATGAACGAGGGTATGGCTGAAGATTTGGCCATCGCCGGAGGTCTCATCGCCGTGCAATGTATCGCCGCCGTCCACGCTGTGTTCATGAGCTATCTCATGACTTTGGAGATCGATCCTCTCACCATTGTCATTTTCACCTGCTTCTCTACCTTCCTCGTCGTCTTCCCCTTCGCCATCTACTTCGAAAGGTACGGTCTCTCTCTCTCTCTCTCTCTCTCTCTCTCTCACACCGGTAGAATTGTGATTTTTCACTGGCTCTGTTTTTGTTGTAGGAAGAAATGGCCCCAGAAATTCAGTTACAAGTTAATCATACAGATTTTGATGCTATCCTTCGGAGGGTGAGGAAATCTTTTATATTCTTTCCTGGATGGAAATTAGCTATTTTTAGATCATTCATTCATTTCCATCCTAGTTTTGATGCATGTGGGACGTATTTTATAAATTGGAGTTTTCATATGTTATCTTATCTCCCCTGGCAAGGATGCAGGGTAACTCTGTTCCAGTCCTTCTCCCTTAAAGGAATAAAACTGACTTCGCCAACAATGGGAACGGCCATGCCAAACCTTGCCCCAGGTCTTATCTTCATCATCGCCTGGACTCTCAGGTACATGTAACCTAAAAATATATACGAAAATGTTTTTAAATGCATGCAGCAGAAAACTAATCAAATTCTGCAAAATTATGTCCCCTGATTCCAGAAATCCGTGTGTTTTGGCAGGTTAGAGAAAGTAAACGTAAGAAGCACATATAGTAAAGTCAAGATCTTGGGCACCATAATCTGCGTCGCAGGGGCTCTCGCAATGAGCCTAATGCAGAGCATATCTCCACCTGCGCCCAAGATAGAAACTGGGATGAAATTGCCAACGTTCCCACCAGATGCTATTTTTGATATGAAAAAGATCAAAGGTTGTCTTTATCTCGTGGCTTCTGTCGTCATATTATCCAACGCCTACGTCTTGCAGGTAACTTGCAATGAAATTAAAAGAATCATATAACAACACTACGAAAACAACTTGCGTTATATAAAACTACTGATGTATTTATTGGCAGGCTTTTATTTTACGAGACTTTCCTGCACCCATATCCCTCAGCGCAACCATATCCTTACTCGGAGCTTTCATGACTGCAATAGCTGAGTTGCTTCAAGATCACAGATTGAAAACTGGTGGGCAAAATCTCAGTGTTCCAAAACTCATTGGCTTTACTTTTCTGGTATATTCTGCTCTTCTCTTCCTAGTATCTATAAATTCACAAGATAGCAATTGACCTGACGACATTCTTAGTTTGAATTGGACATTTTGTAGATGAAAGCTTTCATTTTGCATTATGGGTGATTAATTTGTAAAAATTTGTGAAAAGCTCAGGCAGGTGCGGTGCTTGGATTATGCTTCAGCTTCCACGGATGGGCAGTGAAGAAGAAAGGACCAGTTTTGGTGTCCATGTTCAGTCCCATTTCTACAGTTTGCTCCATCATTTTCTCTGCCGTAACACTTGGAGATACTATCAATATCGGAAGGTATGTTTTACCAGTTTCTTCGTCACTTGATGATGAAAAACCCTATTGCCAATCGTGGTGTGTTTATGGTAACACTGAATTGCAGCCTGGTGGGTATGTTCCTGATGTTTACGGGGCTATACTTTGTGCTCTGGGCTAAAGGGAAAGAAGGGTTCGATTACGGAGATGGCTTGGAAACCGAGTTTGATGCAGAGAAGCCTCTCCTAAGTTGAAGCGCGAGTGTTTTTGAGCGGGCGATTACGTACATATTCTCATCGTTAGAACCTTAGAGTAAGATAGGACAAGCTACAGTAGATTTTAGAACAAGATAAAGGTACTGGTGTTACAAGGATATGCAAAATTGCAAATTCACAAAGAATTTGCGTATGAACAAGTGCTTTTGAGAGTGTGATAGAAAAAAGTGTAATAGATGCTTTGAAGTTAATTGTCTTGATCCGAATCTTTTTTATTAATCTCCTTTTTGACTTGCTGAAGAGAACCGTATAATTTGTACAAACTTTATGTTCGGGGCAATCGTTGTTGCGTTGAAGAATCAATTCTCCTACGAAAAAATTGGGAGCACGCGAATTTACAAATATCAGAACGCATTTCCTCCCTTCTTTTTAACGGGCAAAAGGAATGCTTTTGAAATACGCCTTTGAGACATTGGTTATTGGAGTCTCTGAACCTTCTTTTAAACTTGTGAAATACTAACTAGTGCCACATATTATATGCCTGCATAAGCCAGCCATTTGGCTGAGCTCGCTTTCTTAATTTACAGTTCACGCGCATCTCCACTTTCTTCCGTAGAATTTATTTTGGACCTGGAGGAGACTTCCGTGACCAATGAGCATTTGCGGGCCTAGACTATGCTTTTTGGGCCGGATGGGCCTACCATATCTGCGAGAAGAAAAAATATCTAAAAGAATCTCTGAGAAAAACAAAAACCAGAAAAGGATTAGGATAATTTTGAAGAGAGAAAGTACAAGGAATTCTAATAATAAGGTGGGTGTGTGTGTGCGTGTCTGTGAGGTTGCAGGTGGGACTTGGCCGAAAATCAGGAAATTAAGAGGAGGATGGACCCGGTTGAAAGGATCCTCCATGAGGGTCTGCTTCCACTTAAAGTCAAAATGCCCCGTCTCTTAACTTTTTCATGATTTGGCTTTGGCGGTCCTCATCGATTAAAACAAAAGTGTCGGTCAAATTTGGTATCATGCAGCCCACGATTCTCCTAGAACATATCCTCATGTATTTCCCATTTTCAGTTTATTGGCTGGTTCTTTTTTATGTAATCCTTAGAGTAATTAAAAGGTCTTAACACGCAACTTAATTGATATGTAATGATTATTATTAATGTGGAGGGTATGGTAATATTTTGAAAGAAGAAAAAAGACGGGACGTGAGGACTTGCATGAGGGATGTGGTGAAGTGACCTAGTTTAATGGGGAGGGCTGTGTTTGATGACAAGTCATGCAAGTTTGGTCGCCCCTTGAAAACACATTATCATGCATGTGCCCTGCTTTATTCTCCTCATCATCATCGTCGCAGTAAAAAATTTAAAACCAGCAAGCACGCTTCTCTGGGAGCTCCAACCACACTATTTTTATGTTTTTTTTAATGGGATATTTTATTTACTAATGTTTTCTATGTCTTCGTTTAGGATAGCATTGCCTATTTTTTTAAAATTAATTTTATAAGTAAAAGAATTGAAACTTAGTACTCCCTCTTACCTTAAATATAGGACCCAGATAAAAAATCAACTTAAGTGTTTTTTTTAAACAAAAAAACTCATGGATAAATTAACTAAGTCTCGTATCTACAAACAAAGGGAAGGGAGCATGAAGTGTGTTACAGCTGATTTTCACAGCAGTATGTTTGGGAATAGTAATATTTCTGTGCGACATAGCATGCGTTTTCATGGAAAAATTACCGAATGCTATTCTCTCAGCAGGTTTGTGAAGCAAAAATTGGAGGAGAGCATGTAAGAACAATCCAAATAACGGGGTTTCGTTATTCAATAATAATGATAATGGCTTAATTTTGAGGGTAAATAAATTTGAAAGGTCAACGGCTGCTCCCTCCCAATACGAATAAGCGCTGATTCCGAGTTCCCAGTACAAGATCAGTCGTACCGCCCCAAACCTTACGACGGCACTGAAATTTCAAAGTTCTAAGTCAAAGTCAAATCTCTAATTGATTCTTTTTTTTTTTTTTTTTTGCTGTTGGAGCTGGGAACTTCAAAGATCGAAAATGGGATGAACTGAGGTAGAGAGCGGAGGATTCGGAGGAAACATTTGACCATAACTACAACTTACGAATTCAGTCGTCAATTAGCCTAACATTATAAGTACAAAATGACAATGCGCACTCTTTTTTCTTGTTTTTTTTTCTCCTGTTAGTCGCATTGCGTGTACCTCAAGCCGCCACGTCTCGCTCACAAGGGACAGCTTGAAAGCCGTCTTAATTATAATTAAAAATAAAAGAAAAAGAAAAATGGATTCAATGGAGGAGATAGATAGAATGATAGATAGATAGATACTAGTGTAGAGTAACTCAGAACTTGTGGGCATTCGCCGGCATTTATCCAACACCCAACATATAGGAATTGGCAAAAATGTTGCATTGGCCAGCCGCGACGGACCATGCATTATCCGCATTATTATCAACAGGACAAACGAATGGATAATATTTATGAACTTTTTTTCCCCTTGTACCAAAAAAAAAAGAATGAATAATTAATGGAGGGTGAAAACTGAAATGGAATAAAAAGAGAGAAACGGAAGCATATACAGAGATAGAAGAGGGAAGAGAGAAGACAAAAGTGTGTTCCTCGTTCTCATATTTTGGTCCCTCCCTCACCAAACACTCCTCCCTCTCTCTTCCCACTCTTCCCTCCACGCAATTCCCTCGATCTTTCATACTACCTCCGGTCCTTATTATAAGACTCCGTTTGATTTTTTGTTTGGTCCTAATTATAAGACCCCAATTCATTTTGTCTCTCATATTTATGCATTTTTTTCCAAGATAATCCTTCTAATAATGATAGTTCTAGCCAATATACTTAATTAGCAAGGATATTTTAGGAATGACAACACTTGTTTATTACAAATAACTAACTTAACTTACTTCCTTAATCTCTTCAAATAAGTCAACTGGGTCTTATAATTAGGACCGGAGGTAGTATTACGTTTCACTTTTGACTTCATGGAGGGTGAAAACTGAAATATAATTAATCCAAAATGGAGATTAAAACTTCAAGTTTCTATACCTGCAATTTGAAGGTTTTTATTTAATATAATATTCTTAATTAACCAAGACTTGTTTTCACAGCCAAAGGGAAGGAAGCTAGTTATAAAATTAATGACAAACATATTTTGAAAGAGCAGGCCTCTCTTTCTCTCTTTAATTCCCTTGCTCAACACCTACCACTTGTTTGGTTTTTCTCATCTGATTTGTCTGATGCATGTCTGGCATAAATTAGACGACGGCATATATATCCATTGTCCACGGGACAAATTAGGGGCCAAGTCTACGATTTAAATCCCCCCCTCTGTTTGTTTTTTTTTTTGGCTGCATCATTAGGTAGATCTTGTCACCTGTGACGTAGAGGGTTGATCGTGCGGATAACATTTTCAATTATAAGTATTCTTTCACAAGGCTTTATAATACAATGACAGGATGGTGTAAATCAAGGACCGTAGAAAGAGGGATTCAAAAGGCATATGCAAATCAAAACTCAATATGATTCAAATGTATGCGTATCATAATCAAACGACACGTCGTCATTAATTATTCTGGTTTGATGGATCAAGCGTTGCCTCATGCTCACGGTATTTCAAACCATAATAACGACAACCAGGTCCCAAAAAAAAAACCACAATGGCAACAAAAAAATAACATCATGCGCCCCCTCTGCATATATCATCACCATCTGACTTTCGAGTATCTTTTGTTTAATTAGACACAGTCCCACTTCTAATATTTTGACAAATCCACGAGACAGCCTGTGACGTGGTCAAGTAATAATCTCCAAGTGATGTACTAACTCTCTTGTTCTTAATATAAGAACTAATTGATTAATTTAAATAGATTAATAAAATTAGTTAGGTTAATTATTTATAATAAATAGATGTTGATTTTCATAAAATTAAATAACTTCGCTAATTAAGTGCACTGATTAGAACTACCATTATTATAAGGACTATTTTAAAAATAAATAAATAATATGAGTGACAAAGTGGATTGAGGTCTTATATTTAAGATCAAAATACTAAACTAACTCTTATATTAAAGACAAAAATACTATTTAAGTAGAATCATATACTTCCACGAAACATCACGTCTCTGTATATTAAAAAAACAAAAAAAGGCACCTCGCGTTTCATTGTTATTCCAGCCTCCGTGGCTCCGTCTCCTATCGCCTAAACCCCACTGCATAAACAGGGGGGGGGGACAGAAACCGTTGCCACGTGCTACTTCCTGTCTTTATTATAAAGATTTATTTGATTTTTAATTTGATCTTTAACGTAAGATTTAAATTTATTTTGTCTCCAATATTTATTCATTTTGTCTTCAAGTAATTCTTACAGTGATTGCATATGTTAAGCAGATACTATCAATTTATAATTCAAACACACGTGATTAATAATAACATCTTAAGAAAGACTGAAAGACAATATTTATTTATTACAATTAACTAATTTAACTAACTTTTTTAATATCTTTAAATTAGTTAATTAAATCTTATATTAAAGATAAGAAGTAATTAATGCTCCAATAAGAATAAAAACTTTTTTTGCGTGTTTATCCGTTTAGATCTCCTAAAATTACTTTATTTAGAGTAAGGAGAGAGATAAACATGTAATGATATCTTCCCCCTTTATGAAATCCACATGTTGGATGAGACTTTAATACTGCTTGTCTGCTTTTTTCCCTACCTCCAAAAAAATTCGGTAATTTTTTTTGCAGCGGAAATCCCCCATACAAATTATTCATCAGTAATATTGTGACATTAATAGTGTGATTTAAATCAAGTGATACTTACCAGTTGAATTAACTTATTATTATTGTTAATGGATAGAAGCTGGTGAAATAAATATTAAATAGTGTCTTTTAATTTATTACTCCTCCGGTCCTTAATATAAGACCCATTTAACTAATTTGGTTAGATTAAGGAAGTTAGGTAAGTTAGTTAATTATAATAAATGTGACACGTTTTTCTTAAAATACCATAATCATCTTTTTTAATACCCCTCTCTCTTCTACTTGATTATGGTTGAGAGAGTATCCATAAGGGTGATTTAGAGAAATTGATAAATATGAGAAATGAGTTTTATATTTAGGACCAAAACCAACTTAACAATTGGGTTCTATATTAAGGACCGGAGGAGTAGTTTACAGTAACTGAGAATTTTGGCATGTTACAGTCTTAACCACATCATTCCACATGTTGTGTAATAGGATGATAATTACATCCCTAATCTGGACCATGTTT